GGCAATAGAATATACGGTCTGTACAGTAGAAAAACCATTATGCCTATGGAGAGTCCCCACAAGGATAGCAAACCAGACGTGTGTGTGTGTGTGTGTGTGTGTGTGTGTTCAGGTATTTTTTAGGTTTTTGTTATCTAGTCTTAGTTTTAGTTGATGTTAACTATAATAACCCTGATTCAAATCACTAAATACTCAAGTATATACTTGAATAAGAACGAATGCAGAATTAGAATGCAAACACTTTATTTTATTAACAAATATCGCAAAATAAATAGACATTTTTCTATGTAATATGAACTGAACGTAATTCTGCCAGGCACTTAATTTCTACTGATCTGACAAGTAATTTAATTTTGTTTGATTGTTGATCAATTTCTTTCCAGTGATGCTGTCCGTTAGTGATTCACAGAAACATGCTGAAAATCCATATTTTCCATATTCACAGACAGTGAAGGTCTATGAGAAACACTTCCTGACACTAAACTGAAGTGGAGGTCATTTGCACAGTGTTGGTGAGCTGTCATCTGAGATGAAAGGAATAGCAACCGAAAATGAAAATTTCCTGAATATTTACTCACCCTCAGGCCATCTGAGATGTAGATGAGTTTGTTTCTTCATCAGATTTGGAGAAATGTAGCATCACATCACTTGCTCAGCAATGAATGCTCTGCAGTGAATGGGTGCCGTCAGAATGAGAGTCCAAACAGCTGATAAAAACATCACAGTAATCCACACCACTCCAGTCCATCGGTTAATGTCAGGTGAAGCCAAAAGCTGCATGTATTTAAGAAACAAATCCATCATTAAGACGTTTTTTAACTAAAATACGAGTCCATAATCCTTAGTATTGCTTTCTCCAGTGAAAAAGTCATCTCGTCTGAATCAGGGGAGAAATCTGCACAAATAAAGCACAGTTTACAAGTCAAAACAGCTCTAAACAAATATGTGGGTGGATTTTGATGTGACAGACAACAGGAGATGGACATTTTCACTGGATGAAGCGTCATTATGGATTATGGACTCGTATTTTTGGTCAGAAGTGACAGTTTAAAGTTAAAATGCCTTAATGGTGGATTTGTTTCTTACAAACATGCAGCTTTTCTCTTCACAATATGTTAACTGATGGACTGGAGTGGTGTGGATTACTTGTGGATTATTGTGATGTTTTTATCGACTCTCATTCTGACGGCACCCATTCACTGCAGAGGATCCATTGCTGGTGAGCAAGTGATGCAGTGCTACATTTCTACAAATCTGATGAAGAAACAAACTCATTTACATCTGGGATGAGCTGAGGGTGAGTAAATTTTCAGAAAATTGTTTGGGTGAACTATTCCTATAAGGCTAACACCGCACTGATTAGGACACTTGCTTTAAAATTGTATTATCTAATGCAGTGGCTTTTATACTTTTGCAAGTGTCCAAATATGTCTAAAGGTCACTGTATCTTCAGTAAGGTTTTCTTTAGGATTGTGGTAATTCTAGGCTGGATCAGTCTCCAATTCTTATTTTTATCAAGATGTTTAAACTACTCAAAAACACAACGTACCAATTTTACCATCACATTACACCAATAAACTTTTTCCCCCACAAATTAAATGCTAATGTGCAAACTTTGGCCACTCTAATGTGCAATTCAATACTCAACATTCCAAAAAACGATCACAAAACAGATCATAATTCTGTAAGCATTACGTGTTCTAGTTTATAACTCGCCTCAGAACACACACACACACTCTTTCTCTGTCACACAAACACGCTCAGGGTCATTCAAACACAGCCGAGGCCAGTCCGCTCTTCCTGAAAGTCTCTGCCACGTGTCTGGAGTGCTGGATTTTGGCCGAGAGCGCCTCAAACACGTCATTCTGGTCCAGTGCCGTGGCCGTTCTGTAGATGAACATTCCCAGTGACTCCAGTCCTCTCATGCCCAGATTCACACCACAACCTTCCACACAATCAACACAGACACATTTATATTATAGATAACAGACAAATAGTGTGAAATACAATTGGTTATGATCTGAAAGGGAATGTTACTTGCAATGACCATGATTAAAATATTTTTGGCTTCATGGAATATGTTGTTAGCAGCCATACAGTGCTACAGAATAAAATATATACAGGTCATTCTCATTCAATTTATTATTAATTTTATTTTTATTATTTATTTATTTTAGAAATGAAAAGTGCAAAATCATTTCAACTCTGTCACAGTATCATCCAGTTTTAGTGTGCCTTGTCTTTATATATATATACAGTGGGTACGGAAAGTATTCAGACCCCCTTAAATTTTTCACTCTTATGATTTTTCCCCAAACCATTATGTTCGACAGATAAAAATAAATAAAGACTGAAAATTAAACTACAATTACTAAATAAAACGTATTATTATTATTATTATTATTACGTTTTTATAAAAAATATTATCATAAAACGTCATAGTCAACATTCCTGTGCTTTATGCCTAGAACAATATTATATGATAAAAAAAATTATCAATATGTTTTTTTCCCCAAAACAGAGTGGAACTATTACGCTTGACAAAGCCAAAAATGAAATACTAATAAAGACTGTAAATTACACTTTACTAAATAAAATGTAGTAATTTAATAATAAAATTGTATTATTATTATTATATAAAAATATTATTATAAAGATATACGTTTTAAGGGGGAAATGTCACAGCATAACAGGGTTGAACAGACAGTGCAGGGGAAAATAAAAATGCTGCAATTAAATCATTTTAAAAAACAAAAATACATACTTTCATTTTAACAAAGGCAACATTTATGTACAGTTCATCTTTATACATGGAATTTGGCTTCTTTTTTCTTTTTTTTTGCATTACAAATTTTAGGTTTTAGAACTCAAATATTATTTAAAACCCTAAATGCATAGTTTTACTTAATCTAAATTTGTAGCGGTAAATATATGTATAGTTATAAATATGAATATCCATAACCACAAGTATAAGGGGACATTCACACCGAATGCGTTTTTCCAGTTTAAAATGTGAGACACAGGAGAGTAGAAGAGGAAAGAAAAAGTGTTTTTTTTTTTTAAGTTGAACTTCTTCCAAATGCCACGTTTTTAGAACAGCGTGTCATGCGTGAGATGCTGCATCAGACACAAGACGTGAACTCAACAGTCAAACACGTCCATCTAGTGCATGTTTACATAGAAAATGCAATGCAGTGGAATGGGAAATGTGAAAAGTGAAACGTGAAAGAAAAGTAACACTGTATTTGGCTTAGAAGCATTCAGGTGATGTTAAACCGTGGCTGTGCTCACCGGTGTCAAAGTTGAGCACTCGCGCAGCTTCTCCTTCCACAGTCACGGCGACGTTGTCTCCTTCGATGTAAGCGGCGCTGACGCGTCTGTACGACAGCATGATCTCGAACAGCTTGCGGCTGCACTGCATGTGGTGCAGGGTGAGTTCACTCAGACGAGGCTCGATGTCTGTTTTATACGCGTTGAACGACTGGTGGAAGATGTTCCTCATGATCTGAGTGAAAAGAGAGGAGGGTTCAGTCTCTCACCCTACAAGCTCATCGGGGGTCTTTTCAAGCACATTATTACACACACACACACATATATATAGTGACTGTAACCAGGTAACAGCATGTGTCTGTGAATTATATTTCCTGTGACAGCTGTGTCTTTTTATCTCTTTGTCACTGTTTCTTTCTTTAGCTCTTTATTGTTTTCTTCTTCAACCACGTTTCTGTGCTATTTTTCCTCGTTTCTTGTATGTGTTTCTTCATTATTTCTACTTATTCATTAATCAAACTCTCCAAGTAAGGCAAGATTACATTTTTGAGACAATATAAACAATCACACAACCAAGATTTGCTATATAGTATATTGTTTTATGTGAGTGTACTGTATGTATGCAGGTAAAGTAGACTGTATATATCCAACTTTTAATTTATCGCTGAGTGCTATAACTATTTTGTTCAACTTTTTACCACTATTTTGCATTAAACATTGAAACACCAACTGACATTATTTCGACTACATTTCAATGTTGAAAGTCGATTATGTACTGGCCGGAGAGGGCTAGCAGAATTTTGAAAGAGTGCATAAACTTTAAATGCGATTGAGTTCATGAGCCTAACAGATGCATGCTGGGATTGAGACGTCTTACTGAAGAGTTGGCTGTGTGGCGCAGGAAATGCATCATTTTGGAGTCTGCGTCCGAAGTGCAGGCCAGAGCCATGCAGCGGTTCCGGAACGTCCCGTAAATCTTCAGATGGAATCCAGGCTTCGCTGCCGGCTGAGAGGAGCTGCGTGATTCCTTCACAGTGTCGATCCCGTATGCCGACAGATCAAAATACAAACTATGTGCACGGATCTCTGGTGTGGGAACCTAGAAAACAGAAAAAGATCAAATTATTATTTTCTTGCTTATGTATGAAGAACATTCTGCTACATCTGGACCAGTATTCCATGAAAAGTAAATGAAAAATAAATAAACACACACACACACACACATATATATATATATATACACTTTTTATATTTAATATATTTTATACATTTACTTATTTGTAAGTCGTCCTTGCATATTTATCGCTACATCTGGACCAGTATTCCATGAAAAGTAAATGAAAAATAAATAAACACACACACACACACATATATATATATATATACACTTTTTATATTTAATATATTTTATACATTTACTTATTTGTAAGTCGTCCTTGCATATTTAAATATTTGTTACATTATTCATGACCATTTAACTATGATTGGCAAATTAATTATTGTAGAGAAAAAAAGTTGAATTGCCTCTTCTGATGAAATGAGGACAGGACTACTGAATATTCCTAAATGAAAGCAAGAGGCTTTTATTTTGAAATATGTATGTCATTTTTTTTATGAAATCAATGAAAACATGCAATGTGAAGACGGAATTTCTTAAAGGTACAGCAGCAAAAATCCCACCCATCATTTCAGCGTCTACATCAACATGGTTGAAATCACTGTTGAATCTTTTTTCGATTTTGCAAAGTTTGTTGACTTTTCAGCAGCTCTTGTTCAAATTTTAAGGTTGATTTATAAGTATTTTGCTAACCTTTTTACAACCATTTAACATTAAACATTGTTTCAACGTTCTTTCCCCATTGAAACAACATCCAACCTTACTTAAAACCCATTTCAATGTTAAAGGAACATCACATGTCTGCTAGGATGGCCTGTTTAATTCGAAAACCCAAAATATACTACATTTTTTACATGTACGCTAGTGTACGGTCGAATGCTTAGCTTTTTAAAGTATACTTCATTTGATAGCGTGTGTGACACAAGCGCACTACGACGTTTCATATTAGTTAAGTGTCTGCGCTATTTCTCTCCAAAAAGTTATGAGCAATCTCAAAATATGAGAAGATATTTTGAAAAATGGTGGTAACCAAACAATTTCTGGTTCCCATTGACTTCCATTATATATTTTTGACCAAACAATGGGAGTCAATGGGAACCGAAACTGGTTACCAATATTCTTCAAAATATTTTCTTTCGTGTTCAACAGAAGAAAGTCATAGAGGTTTGGAACGACAGAAGGGTGAGTTACAGATCGCAAAATGTAAATTTTTGGGTGAACTGTCCCTTTAAGGCTCACAGAGAGAGTGAAAACTGGTAACAACTGGTACTTGTCGTCACAAATCCTCAATATTCAGAGCCAAGTTTCAGTTGCACTATTAGACTGAAACCCTGCTTATCTCTGAACCTTATCAAGGTTGCTAAAGCTTGTTTGATGAATTACTGTATACATAACACAGACTAACAAAACAGCCTGTCAGGGATGCTAGCTGACCTTGGTTATCTGCGGTAGCTAAACCCTCTATACCATCTGCTCAAACAAAAAGCCCATTAACTAAAGAGATAGAGAAAAATCAATTATACAAACTGTCATTCTAAACCTGTGTAAAAACAATCAAATTACAGACAGAATCTGTTCCTCATAACATGTGCTAAGGATGGAGGTTGCAGCTTCTCTCCGCCTCACCTGCATCATCAGTGTTTATTGCTGGCAGAAATAGACTCTATTATTATTCATAAGGGCTTAATTTCCTCACCCATATTCATAAAATGAATCAGCCCAGTAGGACCCTGATGACCTTGTGACCACAGAGCGCTCGGACGAACACTCTTTTCATATTCAAGAACACAAATGAGAGATTTCTGAGAATAATAGAATGGGAAGAGGAAAAAAGGGTTGCTACTGAGATGTAATGGTGTGATATGGTATAATGATTTAAGGAGAAAGAAAGAAAAATGCATATGCACTGTAAAGGGCCGTTCACACAGAGTGAGAAGCAGTGCTCAGGAATGTTTTTTTTTTAAAAGTGCAGCGCAGAATGCCTCTTCCGCCATGTTGCCATAAAAAAAAAAAACAGTTGCCATGCCAACTTGCTACTGTAAACAAAAGCTTGCAATGCTTGCCCCGCCTCCGGGGTCTTCTGATTGGTCTGCGTTTAAAAGTTGAAATTCTTTTAACTTGACACGGCATCTTAAAAAACGTAGCGCTCGTGCGAGACGCTGCAAAAGACGTGAGACGCGAGCGCAACGGTCAGACACGTCTGTCTAGCACGTTTACATAGAAAAGCAATGGAAAAGTAGCACATTGGAATGGAAAAATGCATTCTGTGTGAACGGCCCCTAATTTTTTTGTCAAATAACATTAAAATGTACATTGTGTTATAACATCTAATTTCAGTAGTTTAATTTATGGCAAACATTGTGTTTAATATGTTTGAATGTATGCTGAGGTTACAGAACTAAACTATTTAAATTGAGTCATTTTTAATTTTCAAACAAGTTCTTAAGGTAACAACTACCTGTATTCACTTTTACAGTGTATAGGGCATAGAAAAAAAGTATTTGGCTTTTTTATTCAATTAAATTTTACATTGATTTTTATTTAATATAACCTTGAAAAAGATGCATGCTTAATTGTATTGAATGTGCACTTGAAGTGTTTCAAATGTAACAAATATTTTTAAAATCTGTACTTGCAGATAATATGATATTAATAAAAGTCCCCTTGAGTGCGCATTTATCAGCTTGTCAAGCTACTAATAGACATGTAGCAACAACGAAACTCCAATTTCAATTTCATGGGCCTTCTGAAAAAACTTTTAAAAGACTTGCATATAAGCATGTATGTAACTCACCTGTCTCTGGTCCGGTCTTTCTATAGTAGCATTGGCGCCATAAGCGCGACATGATTCCACGATGTAATCAGCGCTGATGCCCAGCACCGAGCAGGAGTCTCCACACGAACCGTCAGCAACTACAATCACCCGCGGCCATTCACCCCTCGGCATCTTGCTCAGGTACTCCTCGCTAAACTACAGGATCACAGCAAGAGAAAACATTTAGGCTAGCAATACGGTTATTTTCCTGAATCAAAAACATTCAGTGCAACCAGTGAATTAAGTAAGATTCCCAATCAAATGATTCTTATGAGCGGGCTCTTTTAAGGGGAATCAAAAACATGCAGCACGGTCAGTACAGTCTGATTCCCAAACTAATGATTCTGAAGCAGTTCTTTTTAGTGAATCAAAACATACAGTGCAGTGCGTCCATGGGGCTGTCATTTTTAGTGATTCAAAAACATACAAGTGGAGTCTGATTCTCGAATGTATGACTCTTTGAGTCAGTTCCTTTTAGTGAATCAAAAACTGACAACGCAACCAATTTTTGCAAACTAAGGATTCTTCTGAACCAGTTCTTTCAGATGAAAGTACCCAGTCTATTCAGTTTTCTGAACAAATGGCTCTTGGGAGTCTGTTGTTTTAAATAAAACAAAAACATTCTATGTGCACACTGTACTTGATTCTTGAACAAATGACTCTTATGAACCAGCTCTTTGAAGTGAATCAAAACATACAGTGAGTACAGTAGTCAGATTTCTGCACAAGTGGAGTGGTTACAGTGTGGTCTGATTCCTGAATGAATGACTCAAAACCAGTTCTTTTTAGTGAATCAAAACATACAGTACATCTGGAAATTTCCACACAAATGAATCTTATGAGATCTTATCTTATGAGTGATTCAGTCCACACTGCCACAATGTAAGTCAGTTTCTTGAACAATCGACTCTTATTAACCAGTTCTTTCAGGTAAATCCAAAACATACAGCACGGTCAGTATGGTTCGATTCCCGAACAAAAGATTCTGAACCAAGTCTTTTTAGTGAATCAAAACATACAGTGCATCCAATAGTCTGATTTCCAAATGAATGACTAAATTAAAATCAAATTAAACTAAATTAAATCAAAACAATCAACATACACAGTCCAATTATTGAACAAATGGCCATTATGAATCAAAAAACATAATGTATATAAAATACATGTTTTGTGTTTTTCATTGTTTAGTACTAAAACATCAGTAGGACTAAGTATTGGATTGTATTTATGTCTTTATGTCTTTATGCCATTAAGCCAGCGCACTTCTCAACAACAAACCGTGTTTACCGAACAAATTACTCATGAGACAGTTATTTTCAGTGGTTCATATACACACAGTGCATCCAGTGGAGTCTGCTTTCCGAATGTATGGCTCTTTGAGACTGTTCTTTGTAGAGAATCAAAAACTCACTACAAAGGAAAAACACCAACCAATAACTCTTTTGAACCAGTTCTTTTAAGTAATTCATTAAAGGGGCCATATGATGCTTTTTTAAAGATCATTATTTTGTGTATTTGGTGTAACAGAATATGTTGACATGCTTTAATGTTCAAAAAACACATTATTTTTCAAATACTGTACATTATTGTAGGTCCTATATGCCCCGCCTCTCTCAAACGCTTC